CCAGCCACCATCTTGGTTGGCAGTTAATTTGCATATCCTGCTGATTAGCCAATGGGAAGCGTTTGGGGGTTAGCCAATGGGAAGCATTCGGGGGTATGGTCAATTTGCATCTTTCTCTTTTATTAGTGTAGATTTCTGAAGTTCATTCAGGAAATATTATTATATGCTGCTAATATATAACTAGTCAATTCCTGTCAGCGATAATTTCAACACTTCTCAAGAGAAGTCTGATCATGTAGAAATGAAAAGTAATAAAGACTAAAGGAAAAAAGACATCAAAAAAAGAATGGCAGGTCCTTCCAATAAGGCTTGTAGGTTGTGGAAACATTCTTTTGAGGATAACAATCTCCATTTTCAGAAAGGATCATAAAGATGCTTTTTAAAATGCTTTCTCTTTAAATTACATCATATTTAGATGACTGTGAGGGGAAACTTTGGAGATCTTCATATTTATAAATAGACTAGAGGCCCGATGTATAAAATTTGTGCAAGGGGCTTCCTCCATGGCAGCGGCTGTCTCTACCTCAGCCCCTGCCTGCCGCAGCTTCATCCTGAAGGATGTCCGGTCTAATTAGCATATTACGCTTTTATTATTATAGATGAGAGACTGAAGGTACCAAGGACAGTCACTGGAAAAGAGTCTTGTCAAACCACCACCACTCTTCCCTTTGTGTTCAATGCCATCCTACACAGTTTTGACTGTTCCTATCCTGGCTATCCATATTATACAAAGGTTTCATTATTACCTTCCTTCATACAGGGGCACACACACGTGCACACAGACACAAACACATACACACATAGGAGTTGAGTACATGTCACATTTCACACTTGTTTCTAGAATATATTATAGGGTGAATTCATCAACTGCAAGCCATTGTATTGAAGGAATAAGTTGCTTCCTTAAAGTAACAATTTAAGGTCAATAGAGATGGGTTTACTTTAATATTAAAGTCTTCAAAAGAGGCAAGCCTCCTTTAGCTGAGGGAAGATGGAATGATCTGATCTCAGAGCCAAAAATATCATGGAAGCAAATGTGAGAATATAAGCAACTCTGCCAAAGGCTTACTAAGAGTTCTAAACTCAGTGATTCTGCTGTTGCCACTTTGGTTTCCTGTACGTTTAAATTCTTTCCTGGACACATAAAAGAGAGTGGTGATATACTTCAAGAAATCAACATATGTGAGAGTCTCTCAGTTTTATAGAGAAATAGCTGGCTTTGTAACAGTGAACTGGACTTTTTTTACGTTGGTGAGAAGATTCATTTTACCTCGATGCATAGGTGTACTGACAATTCTAATGCTTATTTATGAAATGCTATAATTACACAACTTTTTTCAAGTTATATAGAACTAGGAGATTAAAAAAATAGTGCTAATTCTCCTGCCAAGTTACTAACAGAAAAAAAAAGTTGTCCGGTGAAATAAGAGAAGGTGAAATAAATCTCGGGCAAATTGTCTAGTGTCTTCATATTAAAATTAAATCATTACTTAGAACCTGTCCTTAACTTCTTTTAAGTTCAAGTTTTAATGAGCTTCTGAATATTTATAACTTGGAGGTCATTAAAAACCTGCAGGGAAGTACCATACTAGGCAAAAAAACACTGCCCAACCTTTTACACTACCTCCTGCCAGAAGAGTTTAAGCAGATTTGTATATTTCTTACCTTGGCTCCTTCTAAAGGCAAATCATGGCGTCTGTGTTTCCTCATTAGCACTGGGTCAGAGCCCATTCTACTGTGCCTTCCATTTACATTTGAGCTTGCTGTGACTCCAGGCTTTGGAGAGCTATCTCCTACCAGTCGGCAGCCTGCTGACTGATTAGTCCCAAATACATCCCGAGGGCACCAGGCTTCAAGAGGCATTGGCTGGTCTCTGGAAGGCACACTCTCCACAGGATGCAAGTGGCGACTCAGTCTGTTATCAGGTGGGATAGGGGGAGGTCTCTCAGGTGGAGGCGGGGGAGGATCTCTTAAGGGAGGAGGTGGTGCTGGGAGTGGTTTATCTTGTTTTCTCACCATGCAAGGAGAAGACTAAGGAGACACAAGAGGAAAAAAAAAATCAAGAGTTGTACCAGGCATTGAAATTACTTCCAGAATACTATATTACTGCTTTTGTTTTCTAAGCCATAATAGAGCTTTATTAGATCCATATGTCATCTTCTTATAAGTTTCTTTTTATTACCAGTTAATGAAATTTTAAAATGTTAATGGAAGACTCTTATAAATATATTTCATTAGAAATTTCTGTAGAAATGAGTAAATAAACGGAAATGTTAAAATTATAAGGACTGTACAGGAAAAAGCAGAATACCAAAATTATATGGTGATTTTGAATGGTTGACGTTAAAATAATACTGAGTCATTAATTAATTTATTTGCATGTTTCTATGACTAAGGAGAGGAAGCCATCAAATCTATTGTTCTTTTCCTTTTTTAAAAGCAACTTGATTTGTAATATCATTGGATAACTGAGTGTTGGTTTTGCTGTATTTGTATTCACTGCTGTAATACAAAGAAATTCATAAGGAACAAATTTTCTCTGGTTCTTTGTTTTATCAGTTAATGCCAGAATAGTAAAAAATCACAAATAATATAGTAGCATTATTTATAGTTCTCACTTGAATTTTATATATGTGGTTCATCTGATGAATGATTTGTGCGTTTTTTAAATTTATTTTTTTAGCCAGAGAGAGAAAATATCAATTTGTTGTTCCACTTATTGATACATTTATTGGTTGACTTTTTAAAATTTAAATCCTTTATTGTTTAAAGTATTACATAAGTCTCCTTTTTTCCCCATTGACCT